CATGCTGGAGTGGTTCCAGAACTCACGAGGCTGAGGTAGGAGGATTGCTGTGAGGTCAAGTCAGCCTAAACTACAGAGGTCTCAAAAAAAAAAAAAAAAAAAAAGCTATCCCAAAAGAAAATTGTGAGAAAAATTCAACCTGTGTTTCTTTTTTCATTGATTTCACTTTAGAAGTGACAGCAGAGATCATTATAGCAGAACTCTGTATTTACTCCTTTCAGTAAGTGCCCCCTTCCCCATACTGGTGGCAGAAACCAAGACTTTGCACATGCTAGGCAAGTGCTTTACCACTGAGTTATACTTTCAGCTCTTAAAATTTTTTTTTTGGAGTCAGGCATGGTGGTACCCTGTAATCCCAGCTATTTAGGAAGCTGATGTGGGAGATTCACGAGTCTGAGGCCAGCCAGGGCAATTTAGTGAGACCCTATCTTAAAAAAGCGATGGGGATATAGCTCAGCGGTGGAGGGCCCCTGGGTTTAATCTCCAGCACAAAACAACAGCAACAAACTGAAAAGGCTGACTGCAGCAGAAACAAAGTGCACAGTATCTAATTCCACACTATGCAGAACATACTGAATATAAATGAGAAAACTTAAGCCATGCCAGAGATGAGAAGTGTACACCAGACAAGCACATACATATCCTGACAGGTAAAAATCTTAGCTGTACATCATTAAATCTGGGCTCTGACTATGAATAATATCTTGGTGCACCTGAGGCAGAATAGAAAGAAGACAAGGAAAATGACAATTTAAAAACTATAATTTTGGGGTCAGGGATACAACTCAGCTGTGCAGTGCCTGCCTGTATGAGGTCCAGAGGTTGATTCCTGGTAAGCCCCCACCCCTCAAAAACAAAAAACAAAACAAAACAACAACTAAAAAAACCTGTACTTTTGAGAAGACTGCAACTTCGTGCCAGAACCGAAGTTACTCAAGGTCACTGGTATCCATCTGTACTACAGATCTATGCTCCCCTGGCTTGTTTATGCTATTTAGGACTTCTCTCCCCCAGGCCCATCCCACCTAAAATGCCTTAAAGAAAAGTCCCTAGGGCCAGGGAGATAGTTCAGTGGAATAAGTACTTGCCAGGCAAGTCCAAGTTTGATTCTTGGTACTACAAAAAAAAAAAAAAAAAAAAAAAAAAAAAAGTCCCTAAATTAGCTTCGTTGAAAAAGTAAAGGGTGGAGACTTGATCCTAAGATAAAGACACAAACACACAAAAACAAAACAAAACTAAGAACAAAGGGGCCAGGGAGATGTCTCAGTGGAATAAGCGCTTCCCTGGTAAGTGCAAGGGTCTGACAAAGCAGTCTCCAAGAGATGGAGGGAGGTGTTGGGGGGGGAGACTAAAGAATCAGGATGTGTTGCGCACATGTATCAACGTCCCATGATGAATGCAATCATATGTACTGCAAAGGTGTACTAATGCAAAAGGCAGAGAGACCCCGAGGCAATTTGTCCTTTCTGCCAGTGCAGGGGCTGCAGCAAGATGCCACCCCTAAGCAGAGCCAGGTTAAAAAAAATGAGGGTCTACAACTATGTGGTAGCACCAGGGATGGTAGCACCGCCATGTTCCATGTTTGTATCCAAAGACTCTCAAGACTATTTTGTCCCTGTCTATTGCTTCCAACTGCAACTTTGTGATCATGTAATAAAGGTCAGTTTGAAGATTTTTTTAAATTAACACCTTTTTAAAAAAGATTGAATGATTTGTTTTACATAGAGGCAATTGATCTGTAAACCAGAATGTCCAGATGAAATGTTTGAGTTGAGACATTTTCCTCTCTTGCAGGAGTACTTGATAAACTCCTTATCAGTTAGAATTTTTGTAGAATAGCTGGGAGGGAGGTCTTAGAAGGAACTGAGTAGGTATTGACACACCTGACATACTTGCATCTCCCAAGAGCCTTGGCCCAGAATTACTAAACAAGAGCAGGGTACTTCCTTCTTTGGAAAGGAAGTTCCTATTTTCATAGTTCTTCCAACGTAACTTTTAGAGAAGTGGACGTGACCGGGAACTGCGTTTCTGCTTCTTGGTCAGAGGATGAAGCCCTTTCATCCCCTTGCTGGCCCCTCATGTCTCACGTGCAGATCTGAGGTGCAATGCACTGAGAATTTCAAGCACATCTTCAATTCCCAGAAAAGGAACCACTCTTTACCCCCATCTTTTTTTTTTAATTTTATTTATTTATGTGTGTGTATGTGTGGCCAGCTCAGCCCACTAGGGGGCGGGGCCGGCTGGCATGTGGTGCTGGGGGATTGAACCGCGGTCCCTGGGCTTTTCTAAGCTTGTTCCAAGTAGGTGCTTTAGACCACTGAGCCATCTCACCAGCCCGGAACCACTCTTTAGAAGAAGTAGTGAATTGCTTTCCTGAGGTCAAAGGGATTGGAAGAAGAGCTCAGGGCCAGAATGTTCCAAGCCTTCAATCCTTCCTGAGGCCTAACAACCTGCAGCCTTTACATTTAGGTCCTCAGTGGGTTGGGTCTTAGTGAAGTTTAAAATACCAGGAGGTACAGAAATAATTTTCCCTCTTCTCTCACCATTTCTCCACAATATGAAGCAAATATCTCTCAACTCAATTTCCACATTTCTCAGGCATGGAGGAAAGATTTGACATTAAACTTCATTGCAATGACCCATTCCTGGAGCAGCCTTCTCCAGCCCAAAAGAAACATGGAGGTCCCGGCTTCTGTTGCCCAGCGCGCAGACTCCGAGTCGGCCCCGCCCCTTCCCTTCCCCACTTCTCCAGCAGAGGGCCCAGCCGCTGAGGTTCCGCGGACACGGCCCGGCCCCGCCCCGCTCCCCGGACCCCGATCCCCGTAGGAGCCGGGGAGGCAGAAACTTGGCCGCAGCTTTCCGGGGGCTGTGGGCAAGCGGGCGCTCTTGAGGGGCGGCGCGGGAGGGGGCCGCTGGCCGGGCCGGCCGGCCGGGGCC